TCTTCTAAGTAGCCAAATCACTGTCCTTTCATGCCCCTCTTCATTCACAAAAGCAAAAAGAAGTCGCATGGAGTGAGGTCAGGTAACTAACGTGCGTGGAGCAAGAGAAGCATGCTGTTTTTGGCCAACAACTGGTGCACTGAGATGACTGTGTGAGCAGGTGCATTGTTGTAGTGGCAAAACCAGGCCCCTGTGCCACAAACCAGGTCTTTTTTGTGTCACACTGTTATACAATCTTTTCAGAACCTTAAATAGAAAGCTTGATTAACAGTGTGACCTGATGGAACGAACTCCAAATACATTAACCCCCTCACATCAGTGGAGCTTTTTTCCCATTTGCTTGGTTTTTTAGGGGGGTTGTTTATATATGTCTCTGGTTCACTTTAGAGACATCATTATCATTTTCTGTTTAAGAACATTATCAATCATCCCCATGGGGCCTAAGTCAATTGTATTGGTAATGTCATTATTTTAGTCAATGGAATAAAATTTAAAACACTATTGAGAAAAGGAAATTATGCAAGTATAGGCTGGATATAAACCATAATACGTGAATTGCTGGCTTGTCCAGATTAAACTCTTAAATGACTGGACACTTTATACAGACAATGGGGGTTGGTGATAGGGCAAAGCTTTCAATAACACTCATTCAGTAAAGCAGAACCATGTATACCAGATTAATACACATCCTAACGCAAAACTCACTGCCACCAAGTCAATGAGCTCAGGCACTGTAGGAAAGCGTAGAAATGCCCCTGTAAGTTTCCCAGATCATAGCTCTTTACAGGAATGGAAAGCCCATCTTTTTCCCCTGGGAGCAGCTGGTGATTTCCAACAGGTTGGCCTTGCATTTAGCACCCTCAAGGCAAGAGATCTGAACCACTGTAGTCCACCGGCTGCCAATTCTTTAACCGTGGAATAGCAGTCATCTGCTTCTCACACAAGGGAGTTTCAGCTTTAAATCCAAAGCTTACAGGTGAATTTGAGGTAAGGCCCAGGTCACTTACTGAGTTTTCCACCTCAATTAGTGAGATTTCCACCTCAAGTCCTTTAGTTGTGACTTGTGAAAGATACTGTGTACCTCAATAGAACAGTCTAATGTCCCAGTAGTCTGTTAGGGCCTGACTCACCAAGGGTTTCATAGAAACTAGGTCCAAAGTGTGTAATTTATAACATAGTACTAAGCATATTCTCCCCTTGAGTTCTATATAAATATTACGTGGTTTTCCCTCACTCCCAATGGGAGGTTGCTCCTCTCTGTTTAGCCACCAACAGAAATGTAATCACCTTTTCTGAGATGTACATGTCCCTCTCCCTTCATCTTGACTTGAATTTCCAGTAAGGTTCCTTTATCACTCTGGTAGAAGTGTTTGTTGATTTAGGGTAACTTTAGCATATTTTTGTATGGCAGCAACTGACTAGTCATCTCCCTCTCCCCGCATCTTGAAAAACTGGCCCCCATTGAGGTGAGGTCTCCTCTGTTGAAGTGGTTTTTTTAAGAAGTACATATAGAGGGGATGGGTGATATATGGTTAATGGAAGTTAGGGAGGCTCTTGACCTTGTTATTTGGGAAACAGGATTAGAAGACTATATGATCTTAAAAAAAAAAAAAAAGATTACATGATCTAGGAGTAGAAACCTGGCTACCTCGTGGTGTTTATTCTTATAGTCGTGGACTTATATGATATCTGTTTTTTTGTTTTTTATTATCTGTTCTTTTGTGATTGACTGACTTCACTCAGCACCATGGTTAGGCCTTCTCAAAACACTCTCATAATGAGCATACATTATTCTTCTTTTACCCTCTGAAAGTCAACAAGTAAAATGGCTTGAACATCCCAGAAAGCTGTTTCCATGACTTTTGTTCTTCTCCTTATCTCTGACTAGACCACTTCCAGCCCTCGGTAACAATTGCTTTGATAACGCTTTGTCTTCAGAATCATATGTCACAAGCCATGTTATCATCTCCTGTTAAAAAATTCCTCCAAGAAATGTTTCGGTGTCTTGTTCCCACCTGTTTAAAATTTCCATAGAAAACTTTCACTTGGCATGAACAGTATTTCTCACAAATTTTTTTAAACCTTTTTTTTATATCGTTTTATTAGGAGCTCATACAACTCTTATCACAATCCATACATCAGTTGTATAAAGCACATTTGTATATTCTCAAAACATTTGCTCTCCACCTAAGCCCGTGGCATCAGCTCCTCATTTTTTCCCTCCCTCCCCGATGCCCCCTCCCTCAACCCTTGACAACTAATAAATTATTATTTCATCGTATCTTGCCCTGTATTTCTCACAAATTGATGTGGATTGTCTGCCGCCGCGGACTTCATTTTCAACATAGTCTCATCCCTCTGTAAACCACTTATCAATTTGTAAACTGCTTATTTTGGAGGGGTTTTATCTCCCTAACCTTTGCATAAAGCATCAGTGATTTTACCATTCTTCCACCCTAGCTTCACCATAAATCTGATGTTTATCCTTGTTTTAATTTTTGCAGAATGTTTTTAATAGGGACTCTTTCCAAATGATACTTTTATGCTTTTTCATGCCCCAAACGCGAATCAAGTCAGACTGTTATAGCAAGTTACAACTAGTTTAATTTTTGTGCCAAGAGTTTAAATCCATGCATAGTTTTTGCATGATATGTATTATCCATGAACTTTTTGAAGATCACTTATATATGCTTAGATTGTCCCATTTTACTATTATTTTGACATAAATTTGCTTATGTTGCTCTGTTAGTATTTATTTCAGCATATGTCCATTGAGAGATACATACTTTAAAAAATACCTAACACCTTATTGTCATCAAATATCATGTTAAATTTTTAGTTGTGCCAAATGTCAGCTATGTATTTGAATCTATGACTTTTTAATATACTGATATCTTCCATATTTATTAATGAAACTTGATCTGTGTCATATAGTTTTTGCCTCTCTGGATTTGATTGGTCAAATTCTGATAGTAGTTTTATTTATACTTCAGCCAGCCATATTTTTATAACTTGTAGTTGAATCTAAAGGTTTGATTAGAGTCAGCTTCCTCCTCCTGCCCTCTTCTTTTTTCTTTTAACAGGAAGGTTGTGGTGTTTAGTCTTTTACCAGGAGACACATACCTGGTGATCACCTTTATTTGAGGCATTAGTTTCCTTGATGTGTCTAGCTGCATTCATTTTTGCTGTTGTTAGCTGCTGTTGCATTGACCCTTGAATCATAACAGTGAGCCTATGACTCATAACAGTGCTCCCTCGCCCTACACCATTCCCATGATGTGCATGGGGGTATAGAGTGGGCAGTGATAGTTCAGTGCTAGAATTCTTGCCTTGTGCATAAGACCTGGATTTGATTTTTTTTGCCAATACACCTTGTGTACAACCATCACCACCCATCTTTCAGGGGAGACTTGTGTGTTGTTAACGATGTCCAAAACTATGTGCAACAAGTTTCAGCACCACTTTTAGACATAGAATATAGGAAGAAAAACACTGGAAACCTGCTTCTGAAAATCATATGGATCATAGTGATCCAAGTTATAACCAACTTAATTATTAGGAGTTGCAAAATGGTATGTTCTAATTCTAGTCACTTTCTCTCAAACCCACTCTTGTCTGGAATTTACCCTCACTACTCTTGGAAACCCTGAGTTAGTTCTGCTCTGTCCTGTTCTACCTATAGCAGCAGTTCTCAGCCTTTATGGGGGTCGTGACCCCTTTATGGGGGTCGAATTACCCTTTCACAGGGGTCGCCTAAGACCATAAAAAACCACATATTTCCGATGGTCTTAGGAACCGAGACACCGCTCCTCTATCCATCTCCAGGCTGGTCCACCCATATGCAGGTACACCCAGACTGTCATGAAGACTGTTACCCATGCAACACCATGCTTCAAGACAACATTTCATTGATTTGTAATTAGAAATAAGTATTTCACAATATATAATTACATATTGTTTTTGTGATTAATCACTATGCTTTAATTATGTTCAATTTGTAACAATGAGAATAGATCCTGCATATCAAATATTTACATTACGATTCATAGCAGTAGCAAAATTACAGTTATGAAGTAGCAACGAAAATAATTTTATGGTCGGGGGTCACTGCAACATGAGAAACTGTATTAAAGGGTTATGGCATTAGGAAGGTTGAGAACCACTGACCTATAGGGTCACCATGAGTCAGTGGCAGTGGGGCTGGGGTGGGGCAGAGACTATCAAAACTATAAACGTGTCAGGGTCAGCTGTGCTTCCATAGTTAAATTCAGTGGCTAAATCTCAGGTCTAGCTTTACTTGGCTCCTTATTGGCATGATGTGAGAGTCCCTGGGTGCACCAACAGTTAAGGGCAGAACTACTAGTCAAAGAGTTGATGGTTCACACCCAGCCAAATGCCCTCAGGTGACAATCTTGTGGGAGGTTGAAATTTCTCTGGAGCCCTTGTAATCTATACACACAGGGTTAAAATCAGTTGGAATCAGCTCAGTGGCAACAACAGCAGTTGGACACTAACTCCTTCCTTTGATAAATTTTTTACCACTTGGAATCCAGGGTTAAGCTCAATATACATAGATGGAATGATTATAATGAGCACATTATATATATTTGAATTGTATGTAACTATATTGGGACGGTGGGGAGGGAAGCAAAGGGGGGGTAGCATTATAGTCTTCATCTACCCTAAGAGATCATGATGTCATATATTGAGTAATCAAAACCTAGCAGTATATGCGTTATATTAATTAAGAAGGAAGAAGCAGCAGCTGAGAGTCACAGATGGTTGCTTACTAGATAGGAAGTAAGACGAGATCATCTGTATTTTGTTGAAAGCCTTCTAGTACTTTCTGGATTTTATTATGTTGATAAACATCAATTTTAAAACTATATAGCCATTTAGTGCTTTTATTTGCCATATGTATGCCCGGCAAATGAATGTCTTGTCTGCTTATCATCTAATTCCCGGAGACTACTATTTCCTAGTTTGTCTGTCTCTTTCAGAATGGCAGTACGGAAAACACTCATTCCTCCTCAGCCTCCTGAAGTGGCTAATCCAAGAGTGGAGAGCTCTATGCGGAGCACATCTGGGTCACCTAGGCCTGCAGGGTGAGGAGGATGTGAATTCTGTCATTGTTCCTTTCAAGTGCACATAATTGGGGAGGCTTTTCAATAAGTTTATAGTTCACATACATAATTTCCCCCTGAGCATTTTAAAAATCTGCTTTCCAGCTCTGAGATTTGAGTATGCTTCTTAACCTCTCTGGATGAAATGGGCCAGTTTATAACGTCTACCTCAGAATGAATTTAATTCATAGTAAACACTCTGTAATTATCGCTGTGAAAAATAGAATCATGATAATAGTTAATGTTGATTTTTCTTTGTTTTTAAACTATATTCAAATAAATAAATAAATAGAACTATCTTAGTTATTCCATAACTTTCTATGTTTATTATATCAATAACTTACTATATTCATATTTTTAGATCTATTTCCTTATAAAGCTTTATTCAAGGAAAAAGTTGTGGAATGTCTCAGTATATCAGGTATCATTTTAAGTTCCGGAATTAAAATAGTAACTAAAGCAGGCAGTACCTAGCCTCAGTACCTTATTTTCTTGTGAGTTTAGATAAATAATATATGGAGAAGAGGAATACTGTGTCAAGGGTAGACTGTGGACTGAATTTCCCCTATTTCCCCCCAAAATACATATCATACTCATGATCTCTCTATCTGTCATGTGATCTCCATATCTGTCGTAACTTCTCAATTAGGAACTCAGTCATCCTGGGATTCCAATTTACCGTGGCCCTAGAGGAAAGGGAAGAACTGCCCTGTGGGTTTCTGAGACTGTCACTCTGTATGGGAGTAGAAAGCCTCATTGTTCTCCCCAAGAGCGGCTGGTGGTTTCAAACTGCTGACCTCCCAGTTAGTAGCCCAACCTGTAACCAATCTGCCAGAAGGATTCCTATAACACAGGATAGACTAGGGAAAACCTTTGATTCAGCTTCTTTAGCCTTAATGTTCTTTGGTTCCTTGGCTATCTTCCTGTGTTTGAGTCAAGGGCCTTCCCTTAGAGCCTGCAGAACCCTCCTGTCTAGCTGAACTGTGAGAAAAGAATGAAAAGCAACCCCCTTGTGATAGTCTATTACAGCATCACAAAGAAACTAACATAAAAATATGCAATGAGGAGAAGACCAGGTGATGATGCTTTGCACAAACAGAAAGGCTTCTCTGAGTAGAGTTTTGTACAGGTTAAGAGACTGAGCCATTATCTTCCCTGATGACAGAAGGTATCAGGCAAAAGAGAAGGCTTTGTTTGATTTAAGAGTACGTGCAATCCTCATTTTGCACATTAATACACAACCATAAAAATTAGAATGCACGCTGAACCCATGCAAAGCACTAAATTAGAGAAAATTACTCATCCAAAAGTTAACTGGAGCAGTGTTTGCCTTCTTGTCATTTAACCTATTAATACAGAAAAGGCATCTTAGTGCATTGTAATATGGCAGTTTCTAAGTCTGGATCCAGTCTCAGTTTCCTAGGGCTGCCATAACTAAATATCACTAATTGGACAGCATAAAGTACAAAAATTTATTTTTCTATATTTCTGTGTGCTAAAAAGCCAGATTCTGCATGTCGGCAGGGCTTTGCTGGCTGTCAGCTCTAGGGGAAGGTTCTTCCTTATCTCTCAGCTTCTGGCAGCCCCAGGTGTTTCCTGCATTCCTTGACTTGCAGGTGGACTTTCACAGGGCTCATCTCCCTCTGTGTAAAACGCTCTTCTCGTATCCATTTTTGTGTGAAACTCAACTCAGGAGGGATTAGAATGCACCCTATTTCAGTATGACTTCATTACATTAACTGCATTTCAAGGGTAAGTCTGACTTGGCTGTGTAATGTGTATCATTTTTATATGTAGCTTCGTTCTATTTATGAAAATTGTGTGGAGCTTTTTAAGTTGAGGCTATGTGGATGATCATGGCCGATACTCATCTTCTGCTTTTGGTACTTTTGAGTCTTCTATCTTATTTATCTTGGCCAGTCCAACGAAAGGCTAATAAATGTCATTCATCTATTAAAGACCCGAATTATGGTAGTATTGGTTTTCGCTATTGTTTTTCTGTTTTCTGTTTTGTGTTCCTCCACGCTAATCTTTTCTTCCTTCTTGTTTTGAGATTAGTTTTCTTTTTTCAGTATCTTACATATGGTCCCAGGTTAGATGATTAAGTTTTAATTGGTACTCTTTTTAATGCAGGTATTTATAGTTCTACAGCTTCTGTTTAATCATTGTTGTAGCACTGGTATATTGGCTTCATTTCTTTCATCTCAAAGTATGATCTAGTTTCCCTTTTCTTGTGTTACATTTGTTATTTAGTGTTCTTTAGTTCCATATATCTTTTAATTTCCTGGATTTAATTTACAGATTTCTAATATTCATTTCATCAGCGAACATAACGTTGTGTTATTTTAGTCCACTTTACATTTATTCAAGCTAGTTTTGTAACCTACAAGTGACCAGATATGGGAAATGTTCCGAAAGCTATGGGCCTTTTAGGCTTCTTTTCCAAAGTATCCCCTTCAATAAACTTACTTTCTGTTCAAATATTTTTATATTTTTATAAAAGAAAAGAAAATGTTCCATGAGCATTTAAGAAGAGCATATCTTCTGCTGTGGTTAAATGGAATGATCTGTTGATGTCTGCTATGTTGTTTGTTTATAACCGGCATGTATTCTTTTATTATGCTTTGCAGATACTGCATTTCTTGTCAATTTAAGGTTTGTGACAGCCCATCATTGAGCAACTCATGCCCTTTTCTCAATAGCGTGTGCTCACGTTATGTCACTGTCACATTTTGGTAATTCTCACAGTATTTCAAACTTTCCCATCGTGATCTTGTTAAAGAATTTTGTCTTACTTGGTTCCACAGTCTATGCTCATGGAAGCAGCAGTGAAGAGATCAAATGATCTCTTGATTTGGGTAAATCTGCAGCACAGGAACTCTTTGAAGTGTGAAAAAAGCAAGATTGTGACTTTGAGGGCTAAGGTGCCCCTGACCCAAGCCATAGTATTTTCATTCACCTCCTATGTATGTGAAAGGTGGTCAATGAGTAAGGAAGGCTAAAAAAGAGGCTAGATAATTGAATTAGGGTGCCGGGCGGGAAATATTGCAAGTACCATGGACTGCCCCAAAAAGCCCCAAACAAATCTGTCCTGGAAGTACAGCTGAATGCTCTTTAGAAGCAAGGATGGCAAGATTTCATCTCATGTTCTTTGGACATCTTATCAAGAGAGACCAGTCCCTGGAGAAGACATCATGCTTGGTAAAGTAGAGGGGCCGTAAAAAAGAGGAGAGCCCTCTGCAAGACGAATTGACACAGTGGCTGCAACAATGAACTAGTGTAGAAGATCAAAAGCATAAATAGGACTTGAACAGTAAAAACTTGTCAGTTGATCCCTCCGCTGATGCATGCTGGACCTAATTTGGTTTCCAACAATCTCTGTATTTTTGTTTTGTTTCATATTAGGGTATATCTCAAAGGTGTTAGGTTATTGGAGGTCATCAGCTTGAAGTTGTGTTACATGTTTATCTGTGTTTTGGTATGTGAAACCTGGGATTGATGAAGCTATAGGGACTGCAAATAGAATAAGGTGTTCTAGGAGGTGTGGTACGGGTGGGGTGGTGAAAGGGAGACCATGTGTATTAGTCTAGGTACTTTGGAGAAACAAATCCACAGCAACTCACGTATAAGAGAGAGTTTTATGCAAAGAAAATGTGCATCACGAAAACATCCCAACCCAATGCTGCCCAAGCCCACAAGTCCAACATTAACCCATACCCAACACCAGTCCACAAAGTCCTTCACCTCACAAAACAGAGGCAATAAATGCCGACTGCAGGAGGAAAGCTGAGTCCGTGAACGTGTAAGCATCTCAGCACTGGCAGGGGTCTCCACACGGCTGCTCCAGCACCCAGGGCTGCATCGGGATAGATCCATGCGGCTTCTCCTTGGGGATGACTTGTAGGAAATCCATCTTGCAAGCTGAAGCAGGGAACTGCTAAGGCAGCTGCACCCGATGCAACCATCACAAAACAAGAGACCCGAGAACTAGAAAGGCGAGGCTTCACCACCCATTTATCCCTCGGCCTTTCAACCAGCACCACATGTGATTATCGGCCAGGCTGGCACAATTAACTAACTCACCATGTCAAGGAGTCCAGGAAGAAAAAGAATGTTTGGAAACTGGTAGCAATTGTACAATTCTGCTTGACGTGATTCAACTATATATGTATATAATAATTCTCAATTAATAATTAAAAAAACAATGGGCTCAAACATAAGAGCAATTGTGAGGAACGCATAGGACTAGACAATATTTTGTTCCGGTGTATGTAGAGTTGGAGCCAACTTGATGTACATAGCAACAACAGCATGATGTAAAGACTACTTTTGTATGCACTGTGAAGCCAAAATATTTATTGTGATACTCCTCACTTTATTGTGATGGTCTGTAAAGAAACCTGCAATATCCCCAAGGTACACCTGTATCGTTCCATTCTTGAAAGATCACTCATGTTTAATTTTGTTAAATCTGTTATTGAAAATGGGGCTTCATATCTCCAACTGTTTTTTATTTTCTCCAATTATTTCAGGTTTTACTTCATTAATTTTGGGCTTCCATTGCTACAACCATATGTAATGTTTTTTAATGTCATAAAACAAAAGGGGGGGGGAGTAAAGACCAAAATGAATATCAGAATGGAGGTGAAAGGAAGAAATGGTGAAATAAAAAGAACTAATCAGAGAGGCTTGTGTATACAAAGTATTTTAATGAAATGTGCAAAGACCTAGAGTTTGAAAATCACAAGGGTAAAACATGCTCAGAATTCCTCAAGCTGAGAGAATGAAAGAAAATATAAATGCCTTGAGTTGCAATATTGAAAGTTTCTGTGGGCAGAAAATGAACTATGCTGGATGCATAATGGGAAAATGAAAAAGTCACTGTGCCAAAAATAATTGGACATTCAACTGTTTTAGGAGGAAGAAGTCCAAGCTGCTTTAAAGACATTGGCAGCACACAAGGCTCCAGAAATTGAAGGACT